TATTCTGGCAAAAGGGCCAACCCAATAGCAAGGGAAGATCAAAGCTCAAAACCTGCTCGCTCTGGCTTACAAAGACATGTGACCCAACCCTGGTAAGGTCTACTGCACAAGCTCCCCTGAACTGAATGGGAGAAGCTCCCAGGAGATTGCGCCCAGAGATGGACCTGCCAGGTGTTCTCCCGGGGAGCCAGCCTTGCCAAATAATAGACTCCACAACTGAAAAGAGTAGCATGGATTTATTTTTCCCCTGGGGCCTGAGATGTCAACATCAGCAACATCTGCCCCAGATGGTTATTTCGGGCGTGTCTCCTTCAACCTGGCTGTGAAGAGGAAGATGCTTGAGAATGTTCCTTTGCAAGCTCCTCCAGTTCTCAGGTTGCAGTTCGGGGTATTAAGTGTCGACGGGGATGGAGGCGAGACGTATAGCATTTCTCTGCAATTTTCAGCCAGCGGGTAAACCGAAGTCTCAGCTCCGCTGCAAAGAGAAAAGGGGAGAAGAAAGAAATGGTAAAATAGAGAATACAGTGGTACCTCGGGTTACAGACACTTCAGGTTACAGACACTTCAGGTTACAGACTCCGCTAACCCATAAATAGTGCTTCAGGTTAAGTACTTTACTTCAGGATGAGAACATAAATCGTGCTCCTGCGGCGCGGCAGCAGCAGGAGGCCCCATTACCTAAAGTGGTGCTTCAGGTTAAGAACAGTTTCAGGTTAAGAACAGACCTCCAGAACAAATTAAGTTCCTAACCCAAGGTACCACTGTACGGTGAGGACCATTCGTCGACCCGCTCGGAGTCATTATTATTATTATTTATTTACAGTGGTACCTCAGGTTACATACACTTCAGGTTACATACGCTTCAGGTTACAGACTCCGCTAACGCAGAAATAGTGCTTCAGGTTAAGAACTTTGCTTCAGGATGAGAACAGAAATTGTGCTTTGGTGGTGCAGCGGCAGCAGGAAGCTCCATTAGCTAAAGTGGTGCTTCAGGTTAAGAACAGTTTCAGGTTAAAAACGGACCTCCGGAACGAATTAAGTACTTAACCCTAGGTACCACTGTAATTTATATACCCGGGGGTCTCAGGGCGGTTCACAGAATAAAATCAAGATATAAAACCACAAAATACCTAATAAATATAAAAAGAACAATCCAATAGCCCAAAAAAACCCCACATAGGATGCAAATCAGATCAGCCAAAGGCCTGGTTAAAAAGGATCATTTTTGCCTGGCGCCTAAAGGAATATAATGAAGGCTCCAGGTGAACTTCCCTGGGCATTCCACAGACGGGGAGCCACTGCAGAGAAGGCCCTGTTCTCGTGTTGCCACCTTCCAGACCTCTCAAGGAGGAGGCACACGAAGGAGGGCCTCAGAGGATGATCTCAGGGTCCGGGTAGGTTCATATGGAAAGAGGCGGTCCTTAACATATTGCGGTCCTGAGCCGTGTAAGGAATCATGGAGTCAGAAGGGTCCTCAAGTCCAATCCCTCCAACGCAGGAATCTCAACTGAAGCATCCATGTCCGATAGCTGTCCAACTGTCCAAGAAAAAGCTAGCAAGAGCTTTTGCACCGCAGACAGTAACGGAATTGCAGGGAACCCAAAGATCATCTGTTCGGGCCTCAGGGCCACCTGGTGGTGAGGCCGACTCCTATAGCCAAAAGTCCCAAGAAGAGTCCAAAATCCAAAAAAGCTGTGTTCATCCAGTATTTTATACACACACAGAGAGAGAGAGGTTCTCGCATAACAGGGGGTTGGACTAGATGACCCCCCCCCGGGTCCCTTTCAACTCCATGAGTCCATGGATATATATAGAAAAACACCAAAGAGCAGCAGTACATAGCATAATCGCCAGGACAGATCCTGTACCATTATCCCTCACCTGTTCTGTTGTTCCCATCCTATGAGAAGGATACTACTGAATCGGATGCTATATTAAAAATGTCCTTTAACATGCATGTTAGAGACGTGTAACTAGCAACTGCTGGACGGGCTAATAATAATAATAATAATAATAATAATAATAATAATAATTTATTATTTGTACCCCAGCCACTCTGGGCGGCTTCCACGAAGACCAAAAATACACTAATATGTCATACATTAAAAACTTCCCAGAACAGGGCTGCCTTAAGATGTCTTCTAAAAGTCTGGTAGTTTTTCTCCTCTTTGACATCTGGTGGGAGGGCGTTCCACAGGGCGGGTGCCACCACCGAGAAGGCCCTCTGCCTGGTTCCCTGTAACTTGGCTTCTCGCAATGAGGGAACCGCCAGAAGGCCCTCAGAGCTGGACCTCAGCTTCTGGGCAGAACGATGGGGATGGAGACGCTCCTTCAGGTATACTGGGCCGAGGCCGATAATGGTTTTAATCACAGCAGGCGGGGTGGGGAAGCTTAACCCTTTCCCTCCCTCACCGCCCCTGCAATCCTGATGAAAAGGACCCCTCTGAAGCTGCTGTTTGCATGGGAAGGACAGACACACAATCGGGTGCCAATGCGAAGAAGACACGTTCCGTCTCATGCCTGGTTTCGTCCAGGTAAAGCCTTTTGTAAGGCTGGAGCCGTGAGGAGAGCTCTGCAGGGCCAAAGCCCTACAGGACCGCCTCTCCTGGAATGTCCCACAGAGGACCTTACGGTCTTCAAACAAAAACATCTTGGAGGTCCCGGGCCACAGGGAGGTTAGGCTGGCCTCAACTAGGGCCAGGGCCTTTTCAGTAGTGGCCCCGATCTGGTGGAATGCTCTGTCACAAGAGACTAGGACCCTGCGGGACTTGACATCTTTCCGCAGGGCCTGCAAGACGGAGCTGTTCCACCAGGCCTTTGGCCAGGGCACAGCCTGACCCCCTCCTTTGGTAATCCTCACAGAACTCTAGCCCAATGGTTGCCATTAATTTGATTCTGAATTGATTTTAGAATGAATTGATTTCAGAATGCTGTGTTACTTTTATTGTTGTTAGCCGCTCTGAGCCCGGCTTCGGCTGGGGAGAGCGGGATATAAATAAAAAATTATTATTATTATTATTATTATTATTATTATTATTATGCAGAGTTCATCCCTCATCCTGCTGTGTCCAGCCAACCGGGGGGATCCAGGTAAACCCACAAGCAAGAACAGGAAGACAGCGTGACTCCCCATCCTCTCGTCCGAAGGCTCTACTGATGAGCGTTGCTCACACAGATCCTTAGGACTCCAACTCCCATCAGCCCCAGCCAGGGTAAGGCTGGCTATGAACAACTTGGGACCACTTCAGCTACAAGACGCATTCGCTGAGATTCCTGCATTGCAGGGGGGTGGAATAGAGGACCTTTGGGGTCCCTTCCAACTTTACGGTTCTATGAGATCACCTTGCCCCACATGAGCCCATTCAAACACTTTGATTGGTGGAATTGGCACAGGTGCCACATACAGTGGTACCTCAGGTTAAGTACTTAATTCGTTCCGGAGGTCCGTTTTTAACCTGAAACTGTTCTTAACCTGAAGCACCACTTTAGCTAATGGGGCCTCCTGCTGCTGCCGCGCCGCCGGAGCACGATTTCTGTTCTCATCCTGAAGCAAAGTTCTTAACCCAAGGTAAAATTTCTGGGTTAGCGGAGTCTGTAACCTGAAGCGTATGTAACATGAAGCGTATGTAACCTGAGGTACCACTGTAATACCTGGTCCACATTTGTAATAGCTCGATAATTAAGCATGGCAGCATCTACACTTTGAAACTCCCTACCTATTGATAGGTGCCTTCGCTGTACTCTTTTCGGCTCCTGCTAAAAACATCCTTGTTTAGACGAGCCTAGCAGTTCAAAAGCACCTCAAAGTGCAAGTAGATAAATAGGTACCGCTCCGGCGGGAAGGTAAACGGCGTTTCCGTGCGCTGCTCTGGTTCGCCAGAAGCGGCTTAGTCATGCTGGCCACATGACCCGGAAGCTGTACGCCGGCTCCCTCGGCCAGTAAAGCGAGATGAGCGCTGCAACCCCAGAATTGTCCGTGACTGGACCTAACAGTCAGGGGTCCCTTTACCTTTACCCAGATTCTTAGATAGCTGATGTGAATTTTAACCTGTCTCATCATTTTAACTTCTTGTAGGTTTTAAGCTACTGTTGTAAATTTCCCTTGATTTTACTGTTTTACCTTTACAGGTTGTTTTTTTTACCGTGTATAAATCTTATGAAATAAAATGAACCAAAAAAAGAGTTTTTGTTTTGTTTTTCAGTGCCTTTTTTTTGAGTTGACCTTTGATATTTGTGTCTGTACCTCTGATATTTACATCAGGAAAATGGCATGGGAGGGGTTAAGCCTCTCCCCCCCCCCCAAAAAAAAACCTCCTGCTCTGGTCAAACTCTGAGCCCTCAAAAACTGCGTGTTTCGGATTGTCACCAGCCAACCATTACCCAAAGTAGATGCATCAAAATTCACAGGCCAAAGTTAGTCACATCCATACATTTCACCCTCGGTTTTGGTCGTTCTGTAAAAGCTATTCTGTGCATCTCAAATATCTTGAAACGAAAGGTAGTTTGAGAGCTGAGGATTAGGCAGAGGAAAGAAGCAAGAGAGAAGGTCAGCAAGAAACACATTTCTGATTTTGCCCAATTTTCATCCCAAAATGGGATATATAGCAGGAACAGGAATAATCACCCACTTTCTTTACTCTTCGTTTCCCCTTCTCCATATTTCCACATTTTTTTCTCGGAGAAACCCATGCTAAAGTGCTGACAGATATATGCCTAATATATACATTTTTGCTAAGCAACTTCTCCTAATATAATGCATCTTTGCACCTTGTCATTTTCACGAGTTTGCATTACTTGGTTGGGGCAAGAAAAACAGAATGCAAAATTCGGAGAAGCGCAAATTTCAAAGAATGGTACGTATTGAATCAAATTTCTGCCCTGTCCCTAAGAGATGGCTCCCTGCCCGTGGTCACATCTCCCCTCTCCCCTCCTCCTTCATCCACAAGTCACCGCCAAACTCTTGAACTGGAAGCTCCTCGGGGCAGAGAACTCTCCTGCAGCTGTGCATTTAATGTGAGATTAACCTGTACCTAGAGTGCAGGGCCTCGGGGGTCTCTGGCCACCATCAGCTTCTCAAACTCCTCGTAGGTGACTTTCCCATCCGAGTTGGCGTCCACCTGTCTCATCATCTCCTCCACCTTCTCATCTGTGAACCTCTCCCTCAGGTTGACCAGCACATGCTCAAGGGAGCGCATGACCTCTCCCAGCTCCGACGAAGTGATCACCCCGTCGCCGTCCGTGTCGAAATGTGTGAAGGCCTCTTTGACCACGTCGAGTTCTGCTTCTGTGAACCGGTAAGCCATGGCGTGTCCGTCCTCTGCCCAGCACTACCTCTCTCTCTCTCTCGTCTCCAGGAAATCACTCTCTCATTATCCCTGCTGAAATGGGAAAATCCAGCGTCTGCCGGAAGGAGGAGATGATGAAGGGATGGATTGCTTCGGTCCACACCCTGGCCTGGAGAGGGATCTACTTGTTTGTGGCGAAACCAGAGGAACAACTTTGCCCCAGTGTAGGTCGTGCTCTTATAGGGTTGGCAGCAGCAGGTGATGCTCCACTATCAACATCCATCATCTCTGCAACTTCAAGGAATCTGAATCGGGTGGAGCTCTCGCACGTCGCATTATCCGTCGCATTATCCGTCTGGTTTTGTGACATCAGGACAAAGCCCTGAGGTCTCTCGAGTTGATTTTTTGTGTGTGTCAGAGAACAACTGGGCTTTCTGCCTTTGGCTCGGAGGGGCTCAGAAGTTGAACATACCTGTGCCTGGAAAATCCCTTATTTTGGCTGCTGATCCCTTATTTTCGAGGCTGCTGGTCCATTATTTTCAAATCTGTAAGTTGACAGCTATGATAGGAACTTAGGAGTCAAACTGATGGTATTCGTCCCATAGAATCACAGAATCACATTCTTTCCTTGTGTGGAAAGAATGCAGTCTGTCACTGAGCTACATAGGCCAAATATTAATCCTCTACACAGTGATTCTGCTGCAGGTGTAACACATTTTCTCAGCTCTCAAGAGACATCATTTTACTGACAGGGAAAACGCAGTTCCCTCTCTAGCTAATCCATTGCTTTTGCTGATCCTTCACTCACAGTTTGGTGATGGACTCGACATCAGGTGTTTGGTTTTTTTTAAAAGGATTGGGCAAATTAATGGAGGATTAGGCTACTGATGGTTCCTATACTTGATGACTAGCCTCCTTGTGCAGAGGCAGTGTACCTCTCAGTGCCAGGTACTGATGGAATGCAATGGTTCCTTCACACCCTGAGATTCTAGGAAGCATCTGAGATGAAGAACAATGGACCTCTATAATTATGTCCTTATTGTAAGGACACATAATTATTTCCTTATTATGCCCTTTATAATTGCATCCTTATTACAACCACAATGTGAAATGTTGATCTCATCCACCCTCCTAGACCCATATTGGAAAGGAATATCACTGGTGACAACTTACATTGCCCTTCCTCCTGTCTGCAATAATCTGAGACCTTTTCAAATTTATGTTGTTGTTTTTGTATATAATTTTAATTAAATTTTCTGTTTTACAATTTAAGATACTCATTTTCACACCCTTAAAATATCAGTGACTTCCCTCCTTCTCTTTCCATGGTTCATTTTACATATCATAAATCCCTGCATATGCAGAATATGCAGTATTCCATTATTACATCCACATAAATTATTTACCCTGTTGAATTTATCTTAATGCTGCCAGCATTTTCAGCTGTACACAGTCATTTCACATATATTCAACATTTTCCAATCTTCTCTAAATGTAGGTTCTTCTTGTTCTCTTATTCTATATGCTAAGTCTGTAAGCTATACCTGAAGGAGCTTCTCCACCCCCATCGTTCAGCTCAGACACGGAGGTCCAGCTTTGAGGGCCTTCTGGCAGTTCCCTCGCTGCGAGAAGCAAAGCTATAGGGAACCAGGCAGAGGGCCTTCTCGGTGGTGGCGCCTGCCCTGTGGAATGCCCTGGAAATAAACTGGTGGATGTCAAGGAAATAAACAACTATCTGACTTTTAGAAGACATCTGAAGGCAGCCCTGTTTAGGGAAGCTTTTAATGTTTGACCTTTTATCGTGTTTTTAATATTCTGTTGGGAGCTGCCCAGAGTGGCTGGGGAAACCCAGCCAGATGGGCAGGGTATAAATATATTATTATTATTATTATTATTATTATTATTATTATTATTATTATCATCATCATCATCATCATCATCATCACGGATTCCGCTATAATAGTGGTTCCACTCCTTTCTTCTGGGCCGTGTTCAGAAAGTGGAGGTGGGGAATGAGTGTTCAGGCCCCTGGGCTCTCACTTGTGGGGTGCCTCAGGGTTCCGTCCTCTCCCCCATGCTTTTCCGCTGGGAGAGATCATCAGGGGGTTTGGGCGGGGTGTTCATCAATATACGGATGATACCCAGCTCTACCTCTCTTTCAAGCCAGAATCAGTGAAGGCAGTGAAGGTCCTGTGTGAGTGCCTGGAGGCGGTTGGAGGATGGATGGCGGCTAATGGATTGAGGCTGAATCCTGACAAGACAGAAGTACTGTTTTGGGGGACAAGAGGCGGGCAGGTGTGGAGGACTCCCTGGTCCAGAACGGGTTAACTGTGCCCCTGAAGGACCTGGTGTGCAGCCTGGGAATCATTTTGGATTCACAGCTGTCCATAGAGGCACAGGTCAATTCTGTGTCCAGGGCAGCTGTTTATCAGCTCCACCTGGTACGCAGGCTGAGACCCTACTTGCCCTCGGACTGTCTTGCCAGAGTGGTGCATGCTCTGGTTATCTCCCGCTTGGACTACTGCAATGCGCTCTACGTGGGGCTACCTTTGAAGGTGACTCGGAAACTGCAATTAATCCAGAATGTGGCAGCTAGACTGGTGACTGGGAGTCTATTATTATTATTATTATTATTATTATTATTATTATTAACTGCGCAAATTCTGTCAATTTAAGTTGCCACCCTGGTTGTTTCCATATTTCACTACACTGGGCTTTGCCCTGATTTCAGAAGATGAAAGCATCAGAAGACGCCTGTGCATAGCTGTCAACTTACAGATTTGAAAATAAGGGGCCAGCAGCCTCAGAAATAAGGGATCAGCAGCCAAAATAAGGGATTTTCAGAACACAGGTATGTTCAGCTTCTGAGCCCCTCCGAGCCAAAGGCAGAAAGCCCAGCCAGCAGCCAAACGAAGCCTCAAGCGGTGGTTCCTACAGCGCAGCAACCCGGCAAAGGGGATGCAGCAAGGAAAACCACCGTCACCTCTCCGCTGGGAAGCGCTGAACAAAGGCAAGTCCCCAGGCAACATGGCCGATTTGATCAGCACAAGGCATGCAAGCTCCACCCCCCAGTCGTTCTCTGACTTCTTATTGGGTGAGCAACGCAGCCAAGCAACACAGTTGGAGCCTCCCTCCTCCCTGGCCGGCAGGGAGGGAGGGAGGGAGAGGAGCTGCTTCCTTTGAAACCCGGGAAATTTAAGGGACATCATCAATAAGGGACAGCAGTGGGACACGGCACTTGGATAAGGGACTTTCCCGCCAAATAAGGGACGGTTGACAGCTATGCACCTGTGGCTACATCAAGCCAGTGCCCCCTCTATTCTAGCATCCCGTTCCTACAGCGGCCAGCCACAAGTGGCACCTGAGTGCAACAGCTCTCTGGAAGTAAGTGAATGAGCAACAAGGACACAGGGTGGTACCGAGAGCTTGCCCTGCTCAGATTTGCCCTATTGAAATTCTTCAATTCCTGCATGGACTAGAACTAGAATGGCCCTTCCAACTCTACAGTTCTATGCTTCCCATGGCTAACTGTGTCCCATTAATTTAAGGGTGTCTGCCCTGAATGCAACTTGTTGTTGTTGTTGTTGTTTAGTCGTTTAGTCGTGTCCGACTCTTCGTGACCCCCTGGACCAGAGCACGCCAGGCACTCCTGTCTTCCATTGCCTCCCACAGTTTGGTCAAACTCATGCTGGTCCCTTTGAGAACACTGTCCCACCATCTCGTCCTCTGTCGTCCCCTTCTCCTTGTGCCCTCCATCTTTCCCAACATCAGGGTCTTTTCCAGGGAGTCTTCTCTTCTCATGAGGTGGCCAAAGTCTTGGAGCCTCAGCTTCAGGATCTGTCCTTCCAGTGAGCACTCAGGGCTGATTTCCTTCAGAATGGAGAGGTTTGATCTTCTTGCAGTCCATGGGACTCTCAAGAGTCTCCTCCAGCACCATAATGCAAAAGCATCCATTCTTTGGCGATCAGCCTTCTTTATGGTCCAGCTCTCACTTCCATACATCACTACTGGGAAAACCATGGCTTTAACGGACCTTTGTTGGCAAGCTCTGCTTTTTAAGATGCTGTCTAGTTTTGCCATCGCCTTTCTCCCAAGGAGCAGGCGTCTTTTAATTTCGTGGCTGCTGTCACCATCTGCCATGATCATGGAGCCCAAGAAAGTAAAATCTCTCACTGCCTTAGAATGCAACTTAGATGGATACAAACCACAGGAACAAAGGCAACTGAGTCTGGCCGTCGGCCCATTGAGCTTGATATTGCCCACACTGACTGGCAGCATCTCTCCAGGGTTTCAGGCCTCAGACCTCCCCACCCCTGCCTGGGGATGCTGGTGGAATGGAGCTGGGATCTTCTGCACTCAAAGCGGATGCTCTGCCGCTACACTATGCAGAGCTGCAGGATCAGGCCAGTGGTCCATCTGCTGCAGCACCCTGTTCACGCAGCAGCCAACCAGATGCCCGTGGGAAACCCGCAAGCAGGATTCGAACACAAGATCCCTCTTCAACGCTTGTTTAGATTACTGGATTGAGCTGAGATGGCAAAGCTGACGTGCCTAATCAGAGAAAAGCCGTTGGCAACATTTACTAAAGATAGGGGGGGAAACCTTAATTTTTTTGCACAAAAAAAGAGAAAAAGAACTCGTTATATTTCGGGTTGAGGATTGAAGACAATGTTGGCATATAGAAAATAGTTTTGCTGGCTGTTTGGATGTGTTGAACAATTTTTATATACAACTGACAGATGAAGAATCGGAAGTTCTCTTTTTTTCTCTTTTCCTCTTGCTTTCTCTTTATCCTTTTCTCCTTCCTCTATTTCCCTATTTTTTTCTCTCTCTCTCTTTTTGGTTTGTGTTTTCGCTTAGATTAGGTTTCAGTTTCGACAAAAAGAGATTTGATCATAAACTTCGTATTCCTTTTCCCCCAAATCTTAATAAAACCGATTCAAAAATAAAATTAAAAACAGCCCTCTCCCCTCCTGTGAATTCCAGGAACTGGCATTTAGAAGCACTGCTTGCTGCCTCCAGCAGTTTGAGAAGCCTCTCAAATTTGCTGAGTTGCAGAGAAATGGAGTGCAGGCGGCACTTTGTCCAGTTTAATTGTCAAATTTCTCCTGCCTGCTACACCACCACCTTCCCAGGAAGGAAGGCTTCTGGTTAGGCAAAAGAAAAAGTGAGAGCACAGAGGACAGAAAGAATGACTACTAAGGGAAAGTGCAATTTGCGGAGCTCCACGGAGCTCCCTGCGAATTAAACATGGAGCTCCACAAATTAGTGGTCATCGTTGGCCACAGTAAAGTCTACAGGCTTGTGCCAGTTCATGCCCATCCCTGTATCACCCTTGCTTCTCCTATTCCTCCTTTCCCTTCATTCACTCTCCAGTTGAGTTTTGGAACTGTAGGCACCTTGGGGCAGGGAACTGCGTCCCGCACCCCACCGCAAAGCAATGTACTGCCGTGAAAATTGCAATGGTTTGAAGCTTCTGGGAAGTGATATATAACGAGATGAAAAAGACGTTGAAATATACATTTATTAAGAAACCATAAGCCTTTTTACTTGGCTTTGTAGGAGATGATATTAACAGACAGGATTGTAAGTTGTTTTTATATGCAATGATGGCAGCAAGAATATTATTGGCACAAAAATGGAAGCAAGAAGAACTACCGACAAAAGGACGAAATCGATGGACTCTGCAGAATTAGATAAACTAACAGGAAGGATTCGAAACCTGCAGGACCAGAGATTCTTAGAAGACTGGAGTAAATATATGAATTATTTGAAAAGTAATAGTAACGAACAGATTACGCTAGTTGGATTGCAAGAAGTTTTGTAAGGAGGACTATTTGAAATATTACAAGTAAGATTATGAGGAGAATTATTAGTTAGTGATAATTAAGAGTAATAGAGAAATTACGAAATGCAGAAAAACGGAAAATCATCAGAGGTGTTGACGGAAGTCAAAAACATTGTATAAGATGAGAAGTTATGTTATATGAATGTTGGAAATGATATGTTAAAAAGCTAATAAAAATATTTTTAAAAGAAAATTGCAACGGTTTGTTACCTAGGGCCTTCACTTCTCCATCATCACCCGCACAAATTCTTCGTAGTTGACTCTCCCGTCTCCGTCCACGTCGGCCTCCTTGATCATCTCGTCCACTTCTTCGTCCGTCAGCTTCTCCCCCAGGTTGGTCAGGACGTGCCGCAGCTCTGCCGTGCTGATGTAGCCGTTCCCGTCCTTGTCGAAGACCCGGAAAGCTTCCCGGATCTCCTCCTCACTGTCGGAATCCTTTGACTGCTTGGCCATCAGCGAGAGGAACTCGGCAAAGTCCACCGTGCCACTGCCATTGGCATCCACCTGGTCAATCATGCTCTGCAGCTCAGCTTCGGTGGGGTTGTGGCCCAGGGAGCGCATGACAGTGCCCAGCTCCTTGGTGGTGATGGCCCCATCGCCATCTTTGTCAAAGAGTGAGAAGGCCTCTTTGTACTCGGTGAGTTGCTCCTCCGTGAGCCGCTGAGCCATGCTGCTGCCTCCAGTCTCACAACAAGCAACTTCGCGCACTCTCTCTCACTCTCTCTCAGTTGTGATCCCTGCCGAAACAGGAAAAGCTAGCATGGTGTAGGGGCGTTGAGTGATGTCAGCCCACACCCTCATTCGTGGCCTAAGGCCTGGCTTTAGATGCTGCTCCTTTCTGGAGAAACCTGCTGGGGAGATAGACTCATCAGGCGTGGTCTGATGCCAGAGATGGAGGGTGCTCCTCAGGGAGGGGCCGTAGCTCAGTGAGAAGATCATCTGCCTAGCAAGCAGAAGGTCTCAGGTTCAGTTCCCACTGACATCTCCAGGAAGGGCTGAGAGGGACTCCTTTGAGCTAAAAGCACCGGTTAGTTACTGTGACTGGCCATAGTTCCTAGGATTTATAGAATTGTAGAGTTGGAACGGTCCTTGTGGGCATCTATTCCAAGCCCTTGCAACACAGGGATCTCAATAATAATAATAATAATAATAATAATAATAATAATAATAATAATTTATTATTTGTACCCTGCCCATCTGGCTGGGTTTCCACAGCCACTCTGGGCAGCTTCCAACAAAGATTAAAAATACATTAAAATGTCACACATTAAAAACTTCCCTGAAAAGGGCTGCCTTCAGAAGTCTTCTGAATGTCAGGTAGTTGTTTTTCTCTTTGACATCTGATGGGAGGGCTCTCCACAGGGCGGGCGCCACTACCGAGAAGGCCCTCTGCCTGGTTCCCTGTAGCTTCACTTCTTGCAGGGAGGGAACCGCCAGAAGGCCCTCGGTGCTGGACCTCAGCGTCCGGGCAGACCGATGGGGGTGGAGACGCTCCTTCAGGTATACTGAGCCGAAGCTAAGCTGAACAATATAACACAACACGATGGCCAATAACAATGGCACTAAACACTATTTATAGACTAATGCAAATGGTCAAAAATTGCAACCAAAGTCTCCAAATCTCCTTCACCAGTCATGGTAGAATAATTCAAAAGTTTGATATGTACGTAATCTGTCACCGAATATTGCCGGAACAGAGTTTCCGGATAACCGATCTGTTTCGCTCAATGCTTCATCAGCCTATCTTGATCTGTTCTTCATCAGCCAGACTTGTGAGAATTAATATGAGAAGGATACAGTTCTATTTCTTTACAAGACAATCTTGCAGTATCATATGAGCATTGATCCAGAGCATATTTTCTACAGCGTTTATATTTGCTTACATATAAGATTGGCAAAGAAGCAAAGCAGCTCGTAAGCCTGATCTTTATTGAACTGTTGCAACAGGGTGCTTCCCCTCACACAAAGGAAAGGAGGAGGACCCAGAACAAAGGTGTGCCTGCCCTTATATAGACATTTTAAATTGCCCACCCTGGAGTCTAAGACCACCCCCAGAAACATCAAAGCTACATCACAGAAAGGGTGGTCTACAACAGAAATCTGAGTGGGTTGTTTGTCTCTTGTCTGGCAAGTTACCTGTTAATGCTTACTTGATTGGATACCCTGGGGAGCCTGGCCAGTCTTTTGTAATGATGATACTTAATTCCTGGGCCATGTCATAAAGGTAAAGGGATCCCTGACCATTAGGTCCAGTCGTGGCCGACTCTGGGGTTGCGGCGCTCATCTCGCTTTATTGGCCGAGGGAGCCGGCGTACAGCTTCCGGGTCATGTGGCCAGCATGAGTAAGCTGCTTCTGGCAAACCAGAGCAGCGCACGGAAACACCGTTTACCTTCCTGCCAGAGCGGTACCTATTTATCTACTTGCACTATGGTCATAGGCTCACCCTATTCATACACAGACATACCCTTAAGACAGGATTTGTGAAGGAAAAGACAATGGGGAGGCTTTTCCGTTTGACTTTGCAGAGCAAACGTTTGGTCAGTTTGGGAGTCCAAAACGGTTCCAGGGCTGTTTTCCTGTGCTGCTTCAGACATGTGGTTTATATATTTATGTAGATGTTTGCTTGGTACATTTATTATATATATTATATATATAAGACCTTAATTTTTTCTATTTAACATGGGAACCCCCCCCCCAATTGTCTGCTACTCTTATGATGACTTAAACATTCTGTTTTCCCAAAGCAAGAGAGCTGCTCCATCAAGAGGGGAAGAGACAAGGAGGAACATCCGAAGGAAAACAAAGCAGCTACATATCATATGATTCCAGCACTCCACCCCTCCGTTACACAGGAAAACGCTCTGGGCTGCGTGGAAATTTCCAGGGGCTGAGACCCCCCTGTGACGCCGTGGTTTTTTGTTTGTTTGTCTGCTTGCTTTCCCAACCCCTCCACCTGGGAGCAAATCTCTGAAGCAAGCTGCAAAGGGTTTGTTGCAGGAATTTATGTATAGGTTGGGGGGGGTTGCCCCTCCAGCAGATATCATGCACATGCAGCCCACCACCAAAACCAGCACAATCACTTTTGTGACTTTTGTGATTTGTCCCCACAAAACACTTCATCGCAGTTTCTTCCTATCTATTCAAAGGGCCTTTGCTGCACGATACCAAATGTAAGAATTCACTGATAAATGGATCTATGTACTGGCTCACTGTGAAAACTTCAGAAATTCATATATGACATGTGAGCTCAGCTGCTCAGCAGCCCCTCTGCCTGAGGGATAATCCCTGGCATCCTGATACCCGAGTGCCAGACAGGTAGCCATTCCAGAAATAACAGACCCAGATGAAGACAAAAGGGTGTGATTAACTTGGCTGGGAAACAGGGAAATGTCAATATCTCTTTTGTTACACTTGATGGGTGTTTGGTGGAGGGCAAGGGGGACCATGGGGCAGGGTCCAGGATGCTCAGATTCCTGCCACCAGACCTCCCCTTTCATGATGTAACCATGATTTAACCGTGATGTAGTTTGGGTGGGTGTAACACGGGGATTAGCAGCTAATAAAAGTTTGGGGGTCTTTTGTTTGGGGCTTCCATCTTGTTCCACCTGGTGTCAGGTGGGAGTCCTGTCCGACAGTCTTCAATAAAGACCAAGCCTACTGGCTGCTGTTTTGCTCTGGTATTCCTGGCTGGTGTCCTTGTTTTTTGTCCAAGGGGGACTTCAGATTTCTCCGTTAACAAGTTTCAGATCAGCAACTCCTGCGGATCAGCCAGGTTCAGGCTAAGGTTGTTGTTGTTTAGTCGTTTAGTCGTGTCCGACTCTTCGTGACCCCATGGACCAGAGCACACCAGGCACCTCTGTCCTCCACTACCTCCCGCAGTTTGGTCAAACTCATGCTGGTAACCTCGAAAACACTATCCAACCATCTCATCCTCTGTCGCCCCCTTCTCCTTGTGCCCTCTATCTTTCCCAGCATCAGTGTCTTCTCCAGGGAGTCTTCTCTTCTCATGAGGTGGTCAAAGTCTTGGAGCCTCAGCTTCATGATCTGTCCTTCCAGTGAGCACTCAGGGCTGATTTCCTTCAGAATGGCTTCATGGATCACTGCCTTGCCGTGGCGAAGGGGCTTGAAGAACTCAGAGAAGCTATGAACTACGCCGAGCAGGGCACACAAGATGAACAGGTCATAGTGGAGAGTTTTGACCAAACGTGATCCATCTGGAGGAGGAACCGGCAAGCCACTCCAGTATCCTTCCCAGGAAAACTCCATGGACAAAGACAACAGGCTAAGGTTGCCAACTTCCAAATCAGCTTGGGCAGCTGCATCTCACAGCAGTTTGAACAGCAGGGATTTCACAGCACAGGTGTTAAGTGCCTCTTGCCCCTGGGAAATTGCCTGGGAGCGAACACAACCCTCTGATAGAGTTTCTCCACCCAGCTTAAGCGACAGTGATGGATCTCTTTCTGATAAACACCACTGTGGACTCACTCACCTTCATGGCAGCGCTGGGCCTGTAACTCTTTGCTTCAACAGGACTTCACATGTTCCTGGAACGGATCCTGGCACCGGACCAGTTTCCGTGGCTCAAGATCTCAATATAAGCCTTTACATACAAGTAGGATTCCCCCTGCCTCTGTGCTATTGTTTTCCATTATTACTCAGTTCTACAGTATTTCTCTCCGTAGTGTATTTTGAGCCTGAACTGCGCTTGCAATTCTCCAGAGGTCTCTTTTTCAAGAAACAAAACCAAGGCGTTTTCTGTGTCGCTGACAACCCAGGAAGAACCCGCGTTTATTTCCCCGTGAAGCCTTGATGCAGAAATATCACGCACGCAGCGCCTGGGTTGTTCAGTTTCACTTCTTTTCTCGCCGTTCCAAGGCACTTGGAGGACGGAGCTGACTCACTTCTAAACAGGATGTGACCCTTGCCAACACACTTTGCCTTCGGTTTCGGGTTCAGGCTCTTTGTTTCGTTTTGGTGCCGTGTCCAGTCAGTCGCTGGCGACGAGGACACTGAGATCTCCGTCAAGCTCATGCAAGCTGTTATAAGAATTTTAAGGTCTTAGATATGTAATAAATGTTCATAAATGTACCAAGCAAACACGTACATAAATATATAAACCACATGTCTGGAGCAGCACAGGAAGACTGTCCTGAAACCATTTTGACTCCCAAACTGACCAGATGTTTTCTCTGCAAGGAGGGAGGGGGTGAGGGAACCTTCCCATTGTCTCAGGAATTGGGTAACCACCATCTCAAAGGAATGGCCAGACTACCAGGAAAGGCCATCAGATAAGGCATTATCAGATAACCTGGCAGACAGGAGGTAAACAAACCACTCAGATTTCTGCTGTAGACCACCTTTTCTGTGATGTAGGTGTGATATTTGTGGGGGGTGGTCTTGGGTTACACCCCTTCTGTGATGTATGTATGATGTATGGAGGGGTGGTCTTGAGCTCCAGGGAAGGCAATTTAAAATGTCTATATAAGTCCAGCCACACCTTTGTTCTGGGTCCTCCTCTTTTCCTGCATCTGAGGGGAGCACCTTGTTGCAACAGATCAATAAAGATCAGGCTTAAGAGCTGCTTTGCTTCTCAATATTCTCTGGTTGGCCTCTGTTCTTATCTCCGATGGATGGAGAACCTACAAAGGACACTTGTGTCCCTATAAGGGAATAAGGGCAGATTTTCGTTTATTACACATGCCGGGGGAGAAAGCAGCAAACTGGACGTAGAGGTCCCTCCCCCTCCATGTTTCTTCAGGTGCTCAAATGAGATCTATATTTTAATTCTTTGTTGAGTTTATAACCCACTTTTTCCATTTTAAG